TTCCCTTGGATTACCAACTTACTATATATCATCATCATACTATATAAGTCGTGGTTCCCTTGGACTACCAACTTACTATATATCATCATCATACTTCATACTATATGTATATATATATATATATAGATATAGATATTTTCATCATATCATCATCATACTATATAAGTGGTGATTCCCTTGGACTACATCCTTAAAAGAGCTCATGTCATACTACATAAGTCGTGGTTCCCTTGGACTACCAACTTACTATATATCATCATCATAAAGTGGTGGTTCCCTTGGACTACCAACTTACTATATATCATCATCATAAAGTGGTGGTTCCCTTGGACTACCAACTTACTATATATCATCATCATAAAGTGGTGGTTCCCTTGGACTACCAACTTACTATATATCATCATCATACTTCATACTATATTATATAAGTAGTGGTTCCCTTGGACTACTAAGGGTATTCCCATCATTTCCTTCCTTAAAAGAGCTCCTACCAATACTACCAAACCTATCAACAATGGCTACGTAGGGCTAATTAATATTTCTTTCTTCATCATCATATATAATATAATCATCATTCATACTATATAAGTGGTGGTTCCCTTGGACTACCAAGGGTATTCCCGTCATTTCATCATACTCCAAACCTATCAAAAATGGCCACGTAGGGCTAAGATATAGATATTTTCATCATATCATCATCATACTATATAAGTGGTGATTCATTTGGACTACCAAGGGTATTCCTGTCATTTCCTTCCTTAAAAGAGCTCCCATCATACTATATAAGTCGTGGTTCCCTTGGACTACCAACGGTATTCCCGTCATTTCCTTCCTTAAAAGAGCTCATCAAATACTACCAACCATCAAAATGGCCACGTAGGGCTAATTAATATTTCTTTCTTCATCTATCATCATCATACTTCATACTATATATATTTCATCATACTATATAAGTCCTGGTTCCCTTGGACTACCAACTTACTATATATCATCATCATACTTCATACTATATATATTTTCATCATACTATATAAGTCGTGGTTCCCCTGGACTACCAAGGGTATTCCCGCCATTTCCTTCCTTAAAAGAGCTCATCAAATACTACCAACCATCAAAATGGCCACGTAGGGCTAATTAATATTTCTTTCTTCATCATCATCATCATACTATATAAGTGGTGATTCCCTTGGACTACCAAGGGGATTCCCGTCATTTCCTTCCTATATACTTATAATCATACTATATAAGTCGTGGTTCCCCTGGACTACCAAGGGTATTCCCGCCATTTCCTTCCTTAAAAGAGCTCCTACCAATACTACCAAACCTATCAAAAATGGCCACGTAGGGCTAATTAATATTTCTTTCTTTTAGCACTTTCTTTTTCACGTCTTTCTTTACAACCATTTTTATCCCCACAATATGCCTGTGCCTTGCACGGGCACCCTTATCTAGTCTTTTTAAAGGTGCAAGATTTGTTCTTCACCTATATATATCCATTATATTGTTTCAAGATACAGGGAAACAAATAATTGAGCTGGGGCTAAAATGTCTATCATTAAAGTAATTAAGGGAGGTCCACATGTTTCATTTTTCCTATTCTTAGTCCACTTTTTTTGTCCCACTTTAATTTATTGCACAAGTGAGACATTATTTCAATCAATTCATTCATTTTTTGGCTTTAAATTTATCTATAAGAAAAAAATTCACCCAACTACTTGTTTACATCCCTATTCTATTCAAATAGAGCGAAAAGTTGTGGTGACTTAAAAAATAATCAATTAATTAATTTTTTAAGGAATTTCAAGAATAAACGGATTTTAAAAGAGTCATCACCTAATTTTAGGAAAAAAACTAGGAAACCAAGAAATTCTAGGTAAGGGGTTCAAGTTATTCCGAAGAAAAGATGTTAGGCATCCTTCGAAATCCACTATTGTGAATCCCGACTGAATTCATTTTTTCAAATTGAGGAGGAGATAAAAATAAATATACAATTATAATGAATAAGTAGTATACACAAACAATAATAAGAAACGGACTAAGTTTGCCTAACGTCAATACTATACACAATAATAAAATTTATAATTCGAACTCCGTTAGAATAGCTTTGATGGGAAACAACTCTGTGTACCTGTAAAAACACTTAGTAAAAGTGTTAGCACTAAATAAATATGAATAAAAATGAATAACTCAAATAATAACTTAAAAATAAAAATCCGTTTTATATACATGGAAAACCTTGGAAATCGACGGTAATTTCTTCATCGTCCATTTTTAACATACAACATATATAAACTTAAACTAACTTTCCGTCTTTTAAAATGGGGAGGACTCGAAAACCAACGGAGAGATTTTTTCATTGACCAATTTTAACATATTGTATTTCCTAAACGCAAGATCTAATCAAACAAAATGGAAATCGAGGACTTGTATGTACTGTAGTTTTTATTTTACATATATAGGTTTATAACGTTATGTTATTGTTATTATTACGGTTTCTTTTTCTTGAACGTTTTATAATGCTTATAATATTTGTTTCGTCTTCCTTTCTTTTGTATGTTCCTTGATAATAAGTCACAAAACTATTGATTATCACATTAAAGTAACTGAACTTTACCCAATATAACGGTGAAGTCATCAGGCTTTGAATTCAACTTACTTAGCAGAAAATAGAAATGCAAATTGATTCCCTAATTGAATTTGTGCACACAATATTTGATTGCTTTGGGAATATTTGGTATATAATATTTATTGCTATTTCAAAAAAAGAAGAAGGGGGTGGGTGGGTCAAGTTGAGCGGTTTGGGCTACAAATCATTTTTTAGCCCATCTTGACTCAACTCATTATAGTCCATATAAACTTAGGACAGGATTGAGAAACGACCCATTGATTCAGTCTAAACAGTGCTTTTCATTACCATGAGACCTTATGTATTATTTGATTCTTCTAAAGTGTGCAACTTGAAATTGGCGCGCATAGCGCATAGATATGGATATAATACACCTTAACTAAACTCTCCAACTTACAAAATGACTATCTAGACACCTTCTGCAATATATGTGTTATATATGTCAACGTTGGGTGTCCACGAGAAACAATGATGACAAGTTGAGGTGTCTAGATGTGCATTTTCGAAGTTGGAATGTTTAGTTATTTAGTAGAAGGGGTATTTTGAGAATGACAACTTGGGAATGAATAAATGAAAAGGGAGCATAACTAGACATGAAATTCAATTAGTATCACAAAGTTTCAATTACAACTTATAATTAATGATTCAGGACTAGTATGTACTGTAGTTTTTACATATATAGGTTTATAACGTTAGTTGTTGTTACGGTTTCTTTTTCTTGAATGTTTTGTAATGTTTCCTATAGTATTTTTTTTGTCTTCCTTTTTTTTTGTATGTTCGTTGATAGTAAAGTCACAAATTTATTGATTGTCACATTAAAGTAACTAAACTTTACCCACTATAACGGTGAAGTCACTAGGTTTTGAATTTTACTTGCTTAGCAGAAAATAGAAGTTATGCAAATTGATTCCCTAGTTGAATATGTGCACATAATGTTTGATTGGTTTGGGAATATTGGTTTATAATATTTATTAATATTTTAAAAAAAAAGTGGGGTCAAGTTGAGCGGTTTGGGCTACAAATCATTAGTTAGCTCATCTTAACTCGGCTCATTATAGTCCAAATAAATTTAGGACATGATTGAGCAACGACCCATTGATTCAGTTTATTCTGATCCATCCAAATTATGTCTAAACCATTCATCGGTCACCTCTAGACATGACTAATAATGTTTTTCAAAGAAGTGTAAGTTCCAGATATGGCAATTGAAGAACCAAAAACCAAAATCATCCCAATAAACATAACTTCCAAATATGAAGGCTTCTTGATCTTGACGTAGCATAGGCATGGTAACAATATCGACACGGTAACGCCCAAAAGAGCGTCTGTAAATGTCATGACATATCCAAAGAATGGAACGGTTAACGCCACAATGACAGTGTTGATGACTAAAAATGTTCTGATGAAGTAGCTTATGATAAATTTACTCTTTCGTAAAGGTAATTTATCTTCAATAGCTGTTGCAATTGGAGAGACGACAAGAGCATACTTTGTTATTGGATTAACGAGTGTCGTATATATCGCGATTTTTGAACTAATTTTCCCGGTAGGGAGATTTAATGTTATTTGTGACATTAAATTTTGTCCATACATTAAGTACCCCATAATTGCCATTGATCCATAGATAATTGTGCTTAATATAAAGCACACAAATAAAACCTGTTTGCCAAAAAAGAAAAAAAAGGATTTAAGTTATATATACAATGATCAAATAAAATATGTTTATAATTATTGGTGTAATATGACATGTGGGCTGTAGCAAAGGTATTTATAATTTAGTATGAGAAAATATGAAATGTCATTTGTTTTATAGTTAGACATATGATTATTTATAAATTGAAAAGTTTTTGAATCTCACGCTAAGTTTTCTGTTCCGTATATTTTTGTGTCTTTTTGTATGTTTTTGTATTGTTTTGTCTATTTATGTGGTTGGAGTACTTCTCTCCGACTTCCAAGTGTTGAAGCACTTTCTATGTGGCACGGGAGTACTACTTCCTCCATCTCATTTTATGACATACTTTTATATAATTTTTAATTTGTCTGTCATCGATTTTCTATAACAGAAAAATAACATAACTTTAAATTTCCTTTTAAGCCCTTCATGAAACGATATACAACCACAACTTTCAAAAAAATTATTTCCTTCTTTCTTAAGATTTATGTCTAGTCAAAAAGTAGGCATAATACATAAATATGCCCTTTAACTTGGCTTCAAATCACATTTATGCCCTTCAACTTTTGGTGTGCATAGAGAGACACTAAAATTTGTATAAAGTTGAACAAATAGACACACTTGTCCTGCATGGCATCCTACATGTCATTTTTTTATCCTACATGTATAATGCCATGTACATGTTGGACTCATGTGTCTACTTGTTCAACTTTATACAAGTTTAAGTGTCTGCTTGTGCATACCCTAAGTTGAAGGACATAAACGTAAAATGAGGCCAAGTTAAAAGACACATTTATGTATTATGCCCAAAAAGTACCACGTAAACTGAAACTAAAGTAATACATGTTTATCAATAAGATATTATCACCTTGGGAAATTGGCTCCTATCCTTCATGGAATTGCATATTGTTGGGAAAACAGCATGACCACAATAACAAAATGTATACATACTTATTGCACTTATCAATCCATCCCATCTCCAAATCACACCTTTTTCTTCAAATCCAATACCATCAATTGCACCAACCCAAAATATTGAAAAAACCAAAACAATTGAAGCCAAAACTCCACCAATAGAAACATAAGCCAATAAACCTAAACTTTTCAACCATGTTGTTGGCAATATTACAATAGCAACTAATAAAACAAATACTTCCCTTCCAACAATTTTAACACAACCAAAATGAATTTTTGCATTTGGGAATAATTTTTGCAAATTGTCACCTTCTAATATGAGGAATTCAATTGCAACAAAGTATAGTTCAAGATATAAGAAAATTGATATCAAGATTCTTCCTTTGTTACCAAAAGCAAATTCACCAATATCAGGATATGTATTGATTGATGGTGAAACAGTCATGCATTTTTGTAAAAGTATTCCTGTGTAACAACATATAATTGCTACTAAAAAAATTAGCATCAAACATAACCATCCTCCTTGTGAAAGTGCATAGGGTACTGATATTATTCCAATACCTATATGAAAGAGAAAAAAAGAGTTCAAGTTTTATGTATCGAGTTATTGTATATTTATATAGTCAGGTCACTTATAAGGTGATTACAGATAGATTTATCTATGTGATCATAAGCATAGGTAAGATGATAGAAATAATAACAAGTAACTCATTATAACAGGTTGAACAATACTAATAACGTAAAACAACATTTACTCTGTCGGTGCATATAACTTCAATTAAAGTAGTACAATACAACAACATATTTAGTGAAATCTCATAAGTGGGATCTGGAGAGGGTATTTGGTATATATACACAGCCTTATCCTTATCCTATGAAGATAGAGAGGTTGTTTTCGATAGACCCTCGGCTCAAGTAAAGCATAACAAAATAAGAAAGAAAAGAGTATACCATTAGCACCAACAAATAATATGTAACTGAAACAAAGGAAATAATACGTAAAACTAACCATTATAAGAAATTAGGAGGAGAAAATACTAATACCACTTATAAGGAAAACTACACAGCACGACTACTTGACTTATAACTTTTTACTTTAATTCACGACCTTCATATTCTCCTATTTTGGATCATATCTTCGATAAGCGAAGTGATTATGATCACTTATTTCTACTTTTGGATGTGTCTTGAAAACAACAACAACAAATAATGAGATGTTTACCTGATAATGCATTAATACCATTGAAACATGTTCTAAAGAAAGAGGTTCCTTCACAAGGCTCCATAATTTGTGGAATCTGATTTTGAGTCTCAATTCTCTCCACACTATGGGATTCCATATTTTTTGAGTGCCAAAATTAACATCAAAATGCTAGTTTATATATTGGGTTTTGGCAAATTTGTCTAGAATAAAAATATTTTATCTATATGTTTTTAGTTATTAATTCAAATTAAAACTCAATAACTAAAAAGCTAGATTCTCAAACTCATAGAGATACAGTGATGGCGTTCTGCTTTTTTATCTAGAGAGGGGGTGTTCAACCCCCTATTTCATCATATTCTTCTATATGAACTGTTGATATGGATCGAAAAAGGATAATTCAAATAAGGCTATTATTGGAAGATTTTTTTTTATCGAATAGACTTGCACACGTAAAAAAAAGATTGAATAGTTTATTAGTTTAATCAAGGAGTGGAACATACACTACATTAAAAATGATTTTTAACAGTAATTTATTAATGGTAATAGCTTAATCGTTGATAATTCTAGGATACCTTTTAATCTCTTTTATTATTTACTTCTCTTTATTTTTTATTAGGTAATTTTCTATCAATTGTTTTGACTATTCGACTTTTGTATTGAAACATTTAAATCTAATATGTAAATAATAGTTATCTATGTTTTTCATTAAAATAATAACTCAATTTGCACATGCATACACTTACTACTTTAATTTTAAAAAATAGTTTGCATCCATTAAAAATGTCCGTTAGAATCAAACCTCATTTATACTAAATTAAAGTCTCCATTTATATGGGATTTTATTTTATTTTTTGTTTATTTTGGAATATATCAATTCACACGTTTTTGCACGAATCTTTATTATAATGAGTATATTATAGTACTACAATACTAAACTTTTAATAATAAACAAGAATGGATTCTATCTAGTATAAAAATAAAAATATTCTTTTTCATCAAGCAATTTGTTATTGGGTTTTGGAAAATATGTCTATTGGGTTTTGGCAAATATGTCTAGAATAAAAATATTCTATCTATATGTTATTAGTTATTAATTCACAACTCAATCAATAAAAAGCTAGATTCTCAAACTCATAAAGATGTAGATGATGGCGTTTTGCGAGGGGGCACTCAACCACTTGACGATAAGGAGAGGGACGTTGAAATATTTGCTATTTCACATCGTATTTCTCACTCTTTTTAATAGCTTTAAATTTTTTTGTATATTTTTATATTTGAAAAAAAATAATTTAATTACTCATTTGATTATTAATGACACTGTAATGCCGATGATGCACTAATAAGAAGCAGGACTGACAAGTTTCTAGATCAACAAGCTTCTGAACTAATTAACACCCAAAAGAAGTTTGTTCATCCGATAAGGTAAGTTTTGACCCGCTTAATTTTATTCGCGTATGCCTATTCATTTGGTATTATTTTTTAAGAGAATTTTGTCCTATTTGGTCCCGCTCTGCCCTATTTCATCATATTCTTCTATACGAATATCGTTGTTAAATTTGTATTTTTAGAATTAATTAAAAATTCTTTGTAAATATCTCTAAAATCTGTAACAACTTTGGATCTAATGACTATTAATTAATGTTGATAAAATGCATTATCACTCTTTGCTAATGTGTATATTTATTCTGATTTAAGAAAGACAAGGGTCTTCTAATTCTAGGATACCTATACAAAATATACCAATTAGTCTCTTTTATTATTTTCTTTCTCTTTATTTTTCATTATGTAATTTTCTATCAATTGTTTTTACAATTCGATTTGTGTATTGAAACATTTAAATCTAATATATAAATAAAAGTTATCCATGACTCGATTTGCACATGCATACACTTACTACTATAATTTTAAAAAATAGTTTGCATCCATTAAAATGTCCTTTAGAATCAAACCTCATTTATACTAAATTAATTAAAAAAGTCTCAATTTGTATGGGAATTTTTTTTTTTGTTAATTTTGGAATATATCAATCCACACGTTTTTGCACGAATCTTTATTATAATGAGTATCTTATAGTACTACAATTCTAAACTTTTAATTAATAATAAACAAGAATGGATTCTATCTAGTACAAAAATTAAAATATTATTTTACATAAAGCAATTTGTTGGACATGAAACTTGACTCTGGCTCTTCCTCTTTATTAAGCAACGTTAATTGGATATGAAATTTTATTGATTTATCGGTTTAGGTAACAGTTTAGATTCTTTTTATTATCGGATTATCGATATTTTTAACGGTTTGAGGTTTTTTCTTAATAGATTAATCGATAACCCGATAGTAAATTAATAAATTATATTTGTACCATTCGATATATAAAGTTCTTGACTTAAAGTTTAGTTTATACTTTTATTTCTAGCTATCTCAAACTCTCGATTATTCTACAATGTGTTAGTTTTTACTAGTGAAAAATATGCAATATTTGTCAACTCATTTGCATGGTTCACTTGGTTTGATCTTGTTTCTAAGTGATTTTCAATGATTATTGTTTCTTGTGTCAAATCTTAAAGGTTAAATCGATAACGAACAATAACCAATAAACCAATACCTGATAAGTCATACTTGATGGTTCTATAATATCTTAGCATATCTACAAACCGATAAATTAAACTTTAAAATCGAATAGATCGATACTCATCACAGATTAATCAATATGTGGTGCTAAATGTCGATTCAGAAGCAACAATAGACGCAAAAGGGGCAATAATATTTTTCTATCTCATTCCAATCCGCTTCTCTATTTTTTGGTGTTTTATATAGTGTTTTCATTTAATTTACATTGAGAATATTATCCTCAAAATATTTTAAATTTTTATACGAATCTACTTTTTTTGCTATTCTTAATTAATATTGGAATATATAGGAAAAAATCATTTCGCAAATTCAACGAGCTAGGTTTTTTGACATGAGGGAAATTTTCCTAGTGTTTTTCATAAAGTTCCACTTCTTCCTTTTTATTTAATATAATAATTTGTAGAGAATTGCAAAATTTTCTTTTGACTATGATGTCTTACTATAGGATTGATTTGGTGGACATTTTTTGTTTTTGTTTTTTATCGGTGTCCCAACGTGAAGGACAATGATAATTTTTTTGGTTTAATTAATTTGCTGTTTGATACAAAACAAAATTCCTAGAATCTTTACTCTAAAAAAATTTAGCCAAATGTTAGTCATTATTCCTTGACTAATACATTAGTGGTCCTAAAAAGGTGAATATTTATAGAATATGACCTTTGGATTTAATTATCTTCTACGTACAAGTAATTAATTGTTATATATATACTGTATATATATTGTTTTATTAAATGATTATATTCATTTTATTTCTAATTGTTTACTTATTTGTATTTCAAAATCTTGGTTGATTGGGGACAATCTCAAAGTGCCCCCACGTGAGAGGGACACTAAAAGTCGTGTGACTAGAAGACAATATAGAATATGACATTTGAATTTAATTTTAAACTTCTCATTTTATTTTTATCGACACGCTATAACTAATACATGATGGGATATATAGTATTAACGATATTGGAATAATCATATTTAGATAAAATATCAAGTTACAATGTTGACTTCTCTGAATATATGTTGGACAAGTGACCCTCCAAAATCAACGATCGAGGAATGACTTTGTATTTAACAAGAATGCATGAGTATTTATCAGTTACTCCGTTAAGCATAAAGCAGAACACTTATTTGGTTTGATCCATCATTTGGTAATACTTTAGGCCCAATGCTTGATTGATCAACCCAATTTCATTTTAGGCTCAACACGAACTTGAAAATAAAATTAGACAAAATTTCGAAAATAATGGTACTTTTTGTCTTAATTATCAATCACAACAATAATTTGGCTAATTATCAAATGTAGTAGTAATAGTTTTACTTTAAAAACTTGCGATACAGTTTAATCAATTCGCTTTATATTTGTTATGTATGTTCACTTTATATTAGAACAAATTGATATACTGATACAAAGTGAATCGATATAACTCCAACTCTGGCTATTTTCTCATGTACGAGTCCTTTTTTTTTTAATTCCTCTTTTGATATTCAGTATTCATATTGGAGTCCAATTAAATTTGAATTTCCATAATTTTGTATGGTCTATTTTGGAAATGACTCTCCCAACAAGATTGTCTTTGTTCCTACGAGTACAAACCAATACATGCGTCTAGGGATCCCAACTATCTCAGCATCATCCACGTTGACCATCACGAGGTTAACTATGAAGAGATTTAGGATAATTTTGGACAAATGATGTGAAATCAAATGATTGGAAGTTAAAATTTTGTTTGAAATTTTAAAATCTTCATGATTTCAAAATGTGGTTGCAAGGGATCGCTCTGACATCCGATTCATTGTCAAGAATTGATAGACTAACTAACCTTCAAGAACTAAGTCTAGAAGACGCGATCATCGAGGAGGGGAAAGAATGGAACATGGAAGATGTCACCTTCGAGAAACTCAAATCTCTAAAATTGAATAGTGTGGAATTTTCTGAATGGCAGGTTGATGCAGAGAAATCGTTTCCCGTGCTCAAGAAACTATATATAAGTAGATGTGATAAGGTTATGGAAATCCCAGACAGTTTTGGAGATATTGCGTCATTAGAGCTTATCATAGTATGGGGCAGCCCTCAGCTTAGAAATTCGACTTTCAGTATTAAGGAATATGTTGAAGAAATGACCGGAGAAGACAAGCTTGAGGTATACTTTTCTGATTGAGGTATGCTTCATTAACAGATTAACTTATTACTTTCTTTTTTTTTTTATTTGCACCGGGTGTCCGAGTCTCTTTGAGCCCCGACTAATCCCGGGGGTGCACAGGCCCTCGGCAAGGAGTTTCCCGCAAGTGCACCACGGTTAATTCAGGTTTTACCCAGTCCGATGGCCCTCAGAAATTGTTTGCACCCAGTGGGAGATTAACTTATTACTTTTAACTAATACAATATATGTTCTTTGCAGATCAGATCAGATCGAGCCAGCGCATACAAATTCTCAAGACATTAATAACTGTTTATCAAGTCTAAACAGTGCTAGCTATCAGCCCTTGTGTTCTTTATTATAACGGATGAGATATTGTATGCGTGCTTGCTTTTCATTACCATGTATTAGTTGTAATCTACAAACCATTATTTAGCCCATCTTGACTCAGCTCATTATAGACCAAATAAACTTAGGACAGGCTTGAGCAACGACCCAATAAACATAACTTCCAAATATAAAGGCTTCTTGATCTTGAGATAGCATAGGCATGGTAACAATATAGACACGGTAACGCCCAAAAGCACGTCTGTAAATGTCATGACATACCCAAAAAATGGAACGGTTAACGCCACAATGACTGTTTGATGACCAAAAATGTTCTGATGAAGTAGCTCACGATAAGTTTACTTTTTCGTAAAGGTAATTTATCTTCAATAGCCATTACAGTTGGAGAGACGACAAGAGCATACTTTGTTATTGGATTAACGAGTGTCGTATATATCGCGATTTTCAAACTAATTTTCCTAGTAGGGAGATTTAATGTTATTTGTGACATTAAATTTTGTCCATACATGCATTAAGTACCCCATAGTTGTCATTGATCCATAGGTAATTGTGCTTAATATAAAAGCACACAAATAAAATTTGTTTGACAAATGTAACGACCCGAGTCTACACCCTGGACGTGGCCGGCACTCAAGAACCATTGTTGGTCCCTAAGCGAACCCTCATCCTGGCTGACTACAAGCGGAAGACTAACTTAAGCATGCAAAAGCTTAAAACTGAAATAAAAGTTCATAAAACTTAAATAGAAAGCTTTAACTCAAAAGACAACTCCGAATAAAATAAATTATTCAACTCGCCATAAAATAGGCAACTTAAGTCTTTAAAACATTTAATAAAATAAATGAATAATACAGATTTCTCAACTATACTGACTATATATGAAGCCTCTAACTGATAAAGATGGAAGTTGGGACAAGAGCTACGACATCCTGACTAAACTGAAAAGTAAATTAAATAAAATCCTCCGGAAACAAGGAGGCTCACCATAGCTAACTCGAACTCCCGGATGTATCAACAAAGTTCCTATTGACGATCCTGATCAATACATGTGTCTGCATCATGAGAAAATGCAGGCCAAATGGCTCAGTATGTGGAATGTACGAGCATGTAAGGGTAGTTCTAAAGCATAAACATAAGCTTGAAACTTGATTAAAAAGGAAACATACTTAACTCTTTTCAATCTTACTCAACTCAAGGAATACTCCAAACTACTCAAAACTACTCAAACTTTACTCAACTCAGAAGTACTCAAGGATAAGATACTCAACTCAAAGATATGTTATTCGACTCTGGGTACTCAACTCTGTATACCTCAACTCAATATAACTGAACTCATTTCAATAGAAAGCAAATTTAAAATAAGTGCAATATAAAGAAACAAACTATTTAAAAACACGCTGAAAACTCTGTGTATGCAAGGATACAACATAACTCTGAAATGTATGTAAAAATACAATAAGCTGATGTATATAAAAATACAATAACTTATGTGAGAGTTTCTCTAATCGACAACCATCACATAAGAGCTATTGTGATGATACAACGATCTCCCTCACGCTGCCAGC